AGTCAGTTTCAAATAGTATTTTCTAAAAGTGAGTTCATCATCAGAGTTAGAAGAGGTAAACCAAGGCACCTTAGTACTTAGGCCTCTTTTTAAATGAGAAATTATTACATTTACCTCCCCTCAAAAGGTTTGGTTTGTTTTGAATTTTGCACGAAGCTACACGATGGCTATCCGGCCCTAAATTAGCAGTGAAAAACTAGAGAGAAGGCAGCTAGTCATCACTACCCATCTCTCGGGCAACTCTTTTACCAATGAATAGTGGGATTGACCGTCACTTTATAATGTCCCCACAAATTCGAACCCGCGACCCCCAGATTGCGAGTTAAACACCCTAACCACCAACTACAAGTAGTCAAAAAACTTCTTAAGAGTCATAAAGATGCGTTAAAATACGGGAAAAATGACTTGGGCAAACGTAATCACGTTGACAGACAGTGAACTGGTTAGGTTCAAATCGCATGTTCTTGAAGTCAAAGTGAAAAATGTTCAGTCAATGTTAAATAAAGGAATCACTAAAAATAGTGTTAGTTCATATGTTAGTCCCTTAGTGATTTGTAAAAAGACATGATGAATCTGACATATATTATTGTGACATGTTACCAATCAGATAACTGTCTCTGGTGCAAGTCTCCTACCAGACCCAGACCATATCTTTGCCAAAGATTATAACTATATGAAAATGGTTTAATTAAGTGATATTTGTAAATCCCCATGGTAGATTAATGAAAACGGATCTCAAGTTTCTTCAGGAAGGACAGGTTATATCAATTCAAAACCATGTTCTTTAGGTTAGTAAATGTATCAGCTACATTCAGCGGAATTAAGAGAGCCTTAATGAGAAGTGTAACAAATGTAAAAAATTACAGAATTTTTATATCATGGATGAGTTAAACCAACACGTGACAAAGTCAAAGCAATCTAAAATGCAGTGTGGCAAGTTACTAAGAAGTAGCTAAAGTTATTCTTAGAAGTGATGAGATTTTACCAAAGGTAGATACCAATGTACAGCTCAAAATTTTCACAGATTTTACTGATATAAACTCTTGATTTTATATCTTGAAATTGGTACCATTTATTGAAGAGATATTATTTTCCAAGAACGCCAGTTTCCGAGTACTATATTTAAAAATTACATCAATAAAGATATAATCAAACCCTTAGATAGAGTCCTAATGAAAGTCATGTCCTTGTTGTGACAGAGTACTTTTATTTAGAATTATTCTATTATAAAGAAATGGTTGTACATGGTATAGTAAGATGATTGATAATTTATAATAGAGACAGACCAACCACTTAGATATTATCAAAGGTCCAACATGGATAACAGTCAAATTATG